CCTCCTCCTCCTCCTCCTCCTCCTCCTCTACCTCCTCTATCCCCTTATCCTCTTATTCCCTCTCCTCCTCCTCATCTTCTTCTTACTCCTTCTCAATTTCTCTAAGTTTATACGTTGCTATGGGTAAGGTTGTAGTTTAGGAGACAGGACAAATCCAATACCACAATTATAATTACAAGCTGTTCTTGTTCTTCATTTGATGGGAAATCTGTAGTCCATAGGCCGATCGTTTGATTCCTTTTCCCTCTTTGTTTGGGGAAAATTATAGAGTTGTGAGAAGGAAAAACTAGAATGGAGGGGGGGGGGTGTTATTGCTGAAAAAGAATCCGAGCAGGTACATTTTTAAAGAAAACTTCGACAGACACTTCACTTCTCTCTTTTTCTCTCTCTCTCTCTCTCTCTCTCTCTCTCTCTCTCTCTCTTTCTCTTTCTTTCATGATAATGTTATATCAGTGTATGAGATGTAAAGACCTTCTCTATGGCAACATCAAATTTCAGTTTTACAAACACTGAAAGACTCATTTTAAACAAAGAAACAACCCCTTTTAAAAAAACAAACAACTACACTCATTTTCATAAACAAATACATTAAAAAAAAACTCTTCTTCATCTAAATATACCTATGACTCATTTTCACAAGCTTAAAATAATTTCATAAACTTAAAAATATTCACAAATTTTTTTAAAATCCTCCACAGTCACGACTGTCAGGAGACACAAGCAAAACTCACGGAACAAGTGTGCTTCTCTCCCTTTTTCTCAAAGTCATGCTGTCGTATGTGCTTGAGCAGGTGACTGTTGCGCTTGAACTCTTTCCCGCAGAGGTCACAGATGAACAGCGGCATGTTGAGATGGGTGGAGATATGTCTGCGCAGCGTAAGGCGGCCGGCAAAGCTCTTGGGGCAGAAGCGACACGTGTAGGGCCGCTCTCCTGTGTGCAGTCGCAGGTGTTCCACCAACGTCTCCTTCTTGACAAATTTGCCGCACTCTGGGCAGGACACAGATGTGTCATTGCTGAGGCTTTCAATCTGGAAGAGAAAAGCGTATATATAGTTCATCACTTTACTCTTCTAGAGTTGACAGATGAGTACGTTTCGTTCTGTGGGTTGTGGCCGTTTGTTTATCCAATTTTTAAAAATTTCGCCAAACATTTAAACTCCGTCACACTTGGAACCTGGAGAAGAATCACTGAACAGGGGCGAAGCGTCTATATAATCAAATAATCACTGCTTCCCTTCCTAATTTTGAAACATTGTCGCTGTCAAATTCATCCTTAAACATAAACCTCTTAAATTAAAAGTAAAAAGAGGTTCGTAATCCACAATGAGTATGCCTAACATTCAAAACGGTTTCACAGCCACATAAATAGCCTCCTCACCCCTCTCGGGCCACTCCATAAGCAGTCGCAAGCTTTGATTAAGTAAGCTTAAAGTGAGGCTGGAAGAGTCTGCCAATACAGTTTAGGGAACATGTGCATAGCAGTCATGGCTGTTTCATTGCCACATATGCCCTGTTCACCCCTTTGAGGCCACAGTTATAATCAATCCCAAGCCCTGATTAAGTAAGCTAACGAACACTGGTCGAGTCTACCTCACAAATGTGAGGGGAACTAACTCCTAACAATCTCTTTACTGCTGCATGTGCTTGTTTTTTTTCCTCGACTTTTTACTGTCCTATAATCAGATCGTGACCTCGATTATGACACCAGCTCCTGGCCACGAAAGGCTAACAAAAACAGCCAAATGTGAAATTTAAAAAATGATAATTGTCATGTTCTACCAAAGAGTTAGACTCTCTGGTAGGTCTATAACATATAGATCTAGTACTGACATCTCTGCTTCTTTGCTTTGTGTTTATGTATTCACATTTAAAGTTAATTTAATTTTAGTTGGAACTGATATTTAATAAGATACTTTCCCGATTATTTTGGCGGTTGAACATACAATAAGAATTCCGGATTTGTTTTCATTCACAACTCAGAATCGCGGCCTCGAGTAAGATTCTTCTGTGATATCTACAGGCCATATAGATCTATATCTGGTCCCGTTTCACATTGATTACCCTGTCAAACAAGTCAGCCTTCGCCCCGTCACTGAAATCAATGTACAGAAAAGTGGGAAGACATGGAATAACACCAAGAAGCTAGCCCAGGATAGAGAAAGGTGGAAGGTGTTTGTCAGTGGCCTATACCCTGGTGCAGGGTGAGAAATGCAATGATGATGATGACACATGAGCTCTATTTCCTACTTTTTGTAGCTGTATAGATATAAGGTCTTTAAATCTTGTCAGTTTGTTAGTGTTTGAGTGTTTAACCAGCTGCTTGCACTGTATGCTTCCCAGGAAGCTGAGAATGCTTCTGAGTGTTCTATGGTCTGCTGGGGTAATAATATCGTGTAAACAGCATAGAGCTTGCTTTCGAGTGGGGACATGCGCTATAAAATGCTGTTTATTTATTATCATTAAAAGCTTGGTTTGCCTGTTGGAAAACATTTTCCAGCACAATATGGTGCTATAAATTATAATTTCCCCCCGACACTACAGGCTATTTGTTAGTGACACTTGAAGGGTTAAAAATCATTTCTATTATTACTCATAGAGGACACTGAGTCTATGTAAGAGGTATGAAAACATTCTTCTTAATGGCAATATCGCTTTCAGTGTGGAAAATCATTGCTCATGCTTTCTATTTTTTTCTTCTTTTTTTTTTAAAAAAAAGAAGGGGTCTTTTTACACCTCCATCAACACAATATAGATCATTTAGGAGGTGGGCTTCTGGCCCTGCCTGTCAGGGCCATCCTGAGATGAGAAGGAAACAACATCCCAGTAGAAAGACCGAGTTAAAAAGTTGTTCCCCCATCTAATCCGGACATTGGGAATTGCCTTGTTATTGAGACAACTTCCTGGGCCTTTGGCATATTGGGGTAGGGTGGCCAGTTCCTTTCCTCGTCACCTTTACTTCCCCAACTCGAAGTCAGGTACCCATTACTGCTGGGTGGGCAGGAGGGGGCAAAAAAAAATCTGTGTCCGATCCGAGACTCGAACTCAGACTTTCTGCTTCGGAGACGAGCGCAAAGTCCGAGGTATTTGATAAAAATTTTCTCCCAACTAGGGAGTCGAACTTGGGTCTTCTGTTTCTGACAGAGAAGCATATAACTGCATTACCACAGATGCCCATGCTAAAGTTTTCAAGCTTTCAATCTGACAGAACTTAACATCATCAACTAAATTAGATTTGCATTTTTAAAACAATACAGCTAGAAACAAAAAGGAGTAATCACTGCCAAAACTTGGAAAACAGGATTTCGGTAATAATCTCTGTCCTCTCCGTGAAAAACAGTGAGATTTAAAACTGATGCCAATAATAAGTCCAAGCTCAAAGAACTTTGATGATCTAGGAATATAAAATCAAATCATACTTTGAAAAAACTAAACACAACACCCTTAGTTTTAGTTTTCATAGAGGTTTTACGGCGCTTGCAACTGCATAAGGTCACATGAGCACCAGAAGATTAGAGGTGTTACAAGAGAGTAACAAACATAAAAAAGAAGAAGGGGAGATAAGGGCGATAGATTTTCGATAGGAAAGAAGAAGCAAACCACACCAGAGCACCCGCCAACCACCCTCACAACATCCTTGCTAGTCATCACAATGCGTTGCGACCTGCTTTTGAATTTCTGCCTTGAAAACCTCAAGCTACATTGAAAGCTGCACTGCTGACCATAGGCCTACTGAACAGCAGAGCTAAGATGTGAGTGGTTGGCGGGTGCTCTGGTGTGGTTTGCTCCTTCTTTCCTATCAAACATCTATCGGCCTTATCTCTCCTCCTTCCTTTTTGGGTTTGTTACTCTCTTGTAACACCTCTAATCTTCGGTACTCATATGACTTTATTGTGTTGCAAGTGCCGTAAAGCTCTTACTAAAACAAACAAAGAGCTAAGACGACCTCTGACCTGTTTGACATGGTCTCCGTAGAGCTGTGTGACCAGATCCTTGCCCTTGTGGATCCGCTGCAGGTCAGCCTCGCAGCTGGCATGGCGGTGAACTGTCTCGAGGTGGAGGGTGCAGCACGACTCCTGCAGGAAGCGTTTGTCGCACACGGGGCATTTGTGCATCTTGGTCTCCCCGGTCTGTTCGCGAAGCCGGAGCTGGTGGCCTCGTCCTGAGCAGTGGATCTTGTAGGCCTGAGGGGAGGCAAGCTCATCTTACTTTACTTTTATCCTCCACTTATACCCTTTTCGGTGTTGTTGCGGGGCAATCTCATCACTTTACGTAAATTATAATTTAAATAATAATCATAATAGTAATGATGGCAATAATAAGAGCAATAATTACAGTAATAATAAATTTAAAATAACAATAATAACGATAAAGTAATAATAATAATAATAATAATAATGTATATATTATATTTGTGAAAGTTCACCAGTTTTAAATTAAAAGTTTGATTACATACACTCATTCTATATAACTGTTGCAAACAACTACGACAGATTTGTAAAAAATCAATTTAAGTCAATTCCATGTCAGTATATAATACAGAGTTGCCACTGCCATTATAGTCACAGCTATTTTCAAATGATTCAGAGTCCTTTCTCTGAAATCTCTCTCTTTTTTTTTTTTTTTCAAGCGAGCAGACCTACTCTGAGCTGCAGTGTGGCCTACTTACTGAAAAAGTTGCCAAGCCAAGATGTAAAATAACAGCAAAAGTCTCCCCAAGATTTTGGAAGAAAAAACAAAACCAGTGTAAAAGGCATACACCTACAACATGTTCCCAATAGTTTATTTTGTACCAAACTAAACAGGATTTGCTCTTTCTTTCCAATTAAGCATCTATTTTCCTTTTCTCTCCTTCTATTCTTTGTGTTTGCTCCTGTCTTGTAACACCTCTAATCTTCAGCAATTATTAGACCTACTTGTCTTGCAAATGCCATAAAATTCTTCCTAAAACACATCAAACAAAAGCACTTTACCTTGAGAGAAAGGAAGTACTGGTTGCAGGGCTGGCATGTGAGAATGTCGTTTGGATGTTTCTCATTGTAGTGGCTGCGGAGGCCAAACAAGTCCGTGGCAGCAAACTCGCAGTAGGTGCAGGAGAAGATGTGTTTGCTGGCCTCGGCTAGCGTCTCTTCATCCACCTCATCCACCAGCTTTTTCTCCTTCAACGGCAGGAAGTCGTCGTCTATCTCACCATCACTATAGTCATCATCAACATCATCGTTTTCTTCATCTGTGAATACATGGTTGGTCTCTGGAACTTTCAGGGGCACAAGAGGCTGTTCAGTAGTTGTGCTCACATCATCAGTCGGTTTTACAGTTCCCGTCTGATCTTCTGAAGAAATTGCTGCTGTGTCCGACATTTGTCCTTTCTCCGCAGAGACCAAGTCATGAGTCTGACTCTCCGCTGCTGCCCCCCTCACACCAGAAATAGCTTGTTTCTTAAAAACTTGATCAGAGACCTTCATTTCACCAAAAGTTTTTGTTACAGATTTTTTCTTATCAGGTTTTGATTTTTCTACTTTCAACTTGTGCTTCTTTCTCTTATCTTCCCAGTCGTCTTCATTCAAAAATTCTTTTTTCTTCCTTTTCCGGACACTTCTCCGTGGCGGCACTCCCTCCTCCTCAGCCTGCTTCTCTTCTTCTTGTGCCGGTTTGACTGGGATCTTTTCTTTGGGTGCAGATGGCTTGCTGGGTTTTTTTTCTTCCCCTTTCTTTGGGCGGCCTAAAAATACATAAAAGAAAGAAAATTTAAAAAGTTGTCTCTGAAAAAAACAACCCACCCACCTCATATTAGAGGTTAATACAATGGTACAAGTTAAACTATGGAGCAAAAAATAACAATCAGCATCAGACAATGGCGCCGGACAAATTAGTTTCTCAAAAAATGGCATTTCCAAACAAACCATAGCCATATTTCTGATAGCCATAAAATGAAAACAAGAGCAAATTGACTTAATTACCTTTCAGGTTATAGTCATGCTCTCTATCCCTCATTCAAAAATTTGAGTTATAATCGATTTTATTAATAACATGAGAAAGATAAGCCAATATAAGCAAATACAACACACTCAACAACCACAACATCTGCTCTTTTAATGCTTAGAGGGAAAAAGCAAAGAGAAAACGTTGCTCATATCAATGCATATAGCATGTTATTACTGGGGGCTTCAGTGGTTAAGTGAGTAGTGAGTTTAGACTCAAGTAATGTCAAGCAAGTGTCGGTGACAAGGGGATCAGATGGGTGGTCACTAGGGTGTGTCCTTGAGCAAGACACGACAACCCTAGTTCAAAATACAGATTCTGTATTAGTGTAATACTGTGCATTTATGTATGTTTATGTGTATGTATTTAAGTGCATATATTCATAATTATGTATTTATGTGTGTATGTATGTTTGCTATTTAAAAAACCAAATTGCCCTTCTGGGATCAAGAAAATTATAATTTCTTTATTAATTTATTTATTATCGATCCGGGAACATGCAGTAAAATTGGTCGCTTTTAAGCACAAGGGGGCTATCCCGAAAAATGCTGTTTTGAGAAAATTGAAGGTAAAGTTTTTGCCCCTTGTTCAGTTTCTTCAAAAAGACTAGGAGAGTTTTCTCTATAACCAAACAAATATACACACCAATGAAACCAAACCTCTCTTACAGGTAGGGCAATGTCAACTTTTGCTCTTGGTAAAGATTTCTGGAAACCCCCGAAATCTGGGTTAGCCCGCTTGTCCTTAAAAGCAACCAAATAATCAACTAAGTCAACAATTGTTTCACTAAGAATGTGGATCCAACCTCTTTTTTTCTTCTGCTGATCTTCTGCAAGGCCAACAGCTTTAGACGGGGGTGGGGCCGTTTTCTGAGGGGCGGGTGTAGTTTTTGGTGGCATCTGACTGATATTCTTGGCTATAACTCTTTTGGCATGGTAGCGTGTCCTCAGGTGATTGTCCAGTCTGCGCTGGTCCAGGAAGCCTCTGTTGCAGATGTCGCAGTGAAACAGAACCATGTTCTTGTGGACCTACAAAGGGAAACAATTCAGTTGCAAAACCACATGGATATCATACCTGTCCCTGTGGTTTTATGCACCCCACATAATTTAGCAAAATTTGATCATTTTTTGCATAAGTTCTGATTATTTTCCTTTACCATTCTTTGTAAAAATTAACTGAATCGTATAGTTTCATATTTTTGGGCTCAGTTTGCATAATTTCTGAATTTTTTTTGCATAAAACGACGGGGACAGTCATACAGATGTGTCTGGAACATAAATACACCGTCCAAGGTTTTAGTTTGATGTTTTTTATTGGAGTAAAGACAAACCCATTGACACAATAAAGGCCATTTAACACTGTGTCACCTCATCTCGCAGATTGGCGATGTTTACCACTCAGTTTCTTTGGATTTTCCCTAAAATATGATGGCAAAGAGATAAAGTTGAAAAAAAGCAAGCAAGACAGACAGAAACAACAGAGGAAAAAAAATATGGTAAACCGGTAATGCCTTCCAAACACCTACACTGTCCAAGGAAATATTATTTTAAAATGTGTATATTTTTTTTTAAACCCAACCTTTTCATAACTCTAAACCCTTTGACTGCTAAGAATAAGTCCACTGCGTGTGCTAAGGAAACGTCTTTTCCATATCAGCCACTTCCATTAAATGTGTCCATGCCCACTTTTCATCAGGACTTACTTATGCCAAAATCAAATCAAATAATCCTACAAAAGATCCCCAAATCATTTAATTTGTTCAGTATTTTATTATTTTTAGGTCATCTGTAGCTGGTAAATGTACAATGTACATCGACTAGGAAAATTAGTAGACATGAAATGCAATCACCTCAGCTTTGGGAAAAGAGAGAACAAAAAAAACAACAACCAAAGGTACCTCTAAAAGCTTATCAAACCGGTCAGTTAGTACTTCTGAACTTGCTGGATAAAATGCACACACAGGAACTAGGAACATTGATTAATTGGTTCACTCTTTCAAAGGCACTTAAGTTTACCAATTGACTGTCCAGGTTATCAGCATTCATGGGAACGAGAGATTAAGTCACTATGTGGCATTTACACAGGTTCTAATGTGGAAACAACTGAATTGTAATTGGAACAAAACAGATGTAAGCATTATGAGAAATAAAAAGGAATGTTTTTTATAAGACAACTTCTGAACAGTTCACAAAACCATAAAAACTGTAACCTGGAGAAAAAATAAGTAAAGGGACTTAAAGCACAAAAAAACCCCCAACATCTTTACCAAATTATTGCAAGGCTTAATTTCCTTTTTATGGACATGAATTTTTAAAAACTACGCCTCACCTTCAGAAAATGTAACTGCAACATGCTCCGAACCCTGAACTCTTTCTTGCACAAGGGGCAAAAATGCATGCGAAACTCCACGGCCTTGACATCCATTGCAGCCTGCACCTCCGTCAAACGGTTGCTATGTTTGCGCTCACAATGACGCTTCATGCGCACCGCTGAATGCATCTTCACGCCACAGAACTTGCACGTGATGCGGGTGTGGCTCTCACGTACTATGCAGATGCCGTGTTTCCTCTCCACCTGTGCAAAATGTTCTGGGAGCTGAAGGTGTTCCATCATCTGTTAGGAGAGAGAGCCAAGAAGAAGTTAAGTTTTAATAAGAGTTTTACAGCATTTGCAACACAGTAAGGTCATGTAAGTGCCGAAGATTAGAGGTGTTACAAGAGAGTAACAAACGCAAAAAAGGAGGAGAGATAAGGACGATAGATGTTTGATAGGAAAGAAGAAGCAAACCACACCAGAGTACCCGCCAGCCACCCATCGAAGAAGAAGGCTTGTGCTTACCCTTATGCAATATGAATAAAAAATAAAATTTAACATAAACCAATTCCTAACTCAAGACAACAATGTGCCAAAAAAATGTTATTGCAGTAGGAAATTCCGTGAGTATCAAATACTTCCACAACTAATCCTTTAAAAAAAAAACCCCACTGAAAAAAAAAAAAAGAACGCCATGCACAAAAAGCCTGAGAAAAGAAGTGGGACATCACTTTCAATGTGCAAAAAATGTGTGTTCACCTCAGCGTGTTTGTGTGTTTTGAATTTACACGACACACAAACAATAGGCCCCAGCATGTCCGCGCAGCCACTAATGTGGCTTGAGCTGCCCATGTGATCCAGGAAGTCTTTCTGCAGAGGAAACAAGCATTGAAAGAAACAAAATGAAAGTTTATTTTAAGGTTGTCTTCCGTATGTCAAGCCACAAGATGCTGCCAGCCTGTCTCCGTCGTTTTATGCAAGAAAAATTCTGAAATTATGCAAACTGAGCCCAAAAATGTGAAATTATGCGATTCTGTTAATTTTAACAAAGTATGATAACGGAAAATAATCAGAAATTATGCCAAAGAAGATCAATTTTGCTAAATTGCGCGGGGTGCATAAAACCACGGGGACAGCTGGCAGATCTCTAATTCCTGAGACAATCAGCACTTTAATCTCAGAATAAAAAAACATCAACAAATATATATGTGTTCATTCATACTTAGTTCTAACCCATTTCCAAACTGACGTTGCTCCTCTGACGTTTTACTACAACCAGTCTAAACAGCAGAAATAGCAGAAACATTGGTGGAATTTAGAGACTCCTAGTCCTGTCTTCTTCCTCATTACAATCATCTTGCAACATCTCATTGATCATTCTTTTTGTATAAAACAAATCTCTGGGATTGGCAGCTATTAAGCAGGCTTGCCAACTTTTGAGATACTGAATTCTGGAATTTTGATTGCGCCGGAGTGCCACGGACACGCACTTCTGTGATAAGCTACTAAAGTTACTAAAAAAACCCCACCCACACACCACAAAAACAGTTCAAACAAACCAAAGGAGAAACAGAGAGAGAGAGAAAGAGAAAGAGACGCGGTTTAGGGAAAGGTTCGGGATCCATGATGGCAATTCAGGAATTTCCCGAATTCCCCTAAAAAATTCGAGAAGGTTGGAAAGTCTGATTATTTAGTTCAAGAAAAAGGCATTTTGTGTCCCTGGAATCGCCTTTATAAATTTCTTCATTATACTAACCAAAGGCTTTCCAATACTCAAAAAGGAGTAAAACCGAAATGACAATCAGCCAAACGTGGCACACTGGAATTGACTTCCCTGAATAGATGCATAAGCTCCTATTCACTTGGAAAAAGTAAATAGCTGCATAGTTCGTCCAAAGTAGCTTTAGTCTATTGGACGCTAACATCCAGTGAGTTAAGTTAGGAGTTAAAAAACGTCATCCCCACCTTCAAATCTGGGGAAGGGAAACCATTAGCTCCTTCGGGCCCTACATCATTCATCATCAATGCCTTTCCCCCCTGGCAGGGTATAGGCCACATACAAGCTCCTTCCATTTATCTCTGTCCTGAGCCATCCTTCCAAGCTCGTTCCAAGTGAGCTTCATTTCTCTCATGTCCCTTTCCACGCATCTCCTCCATGTTTCCCGTGGCCTACCCCTGCCTCGTGCTCCTTGTGGGTTCCACTGCAGTGACTGTCATGTGATGTTTCCGCTGGGCTTTCTTAAGGTGTGCCCCATCCATCGTCACTTTCTTAGTCCTATTTCTACTTCTATATCCTTTTGTCCTGTCCTTTCCCACAGTTCTTCATTTCTTATTCTATCCTGCCACTTAATTCTTAGAATACTCTTCATACATCTGTTGATGAAAGTCTGGACTTTATTCAGTACTGTTTTCGTTGTCTTCTAAGTTTCGCAGCCGTAGAGGAGCACAGACTTGACGTTGGAGTTAAAGAGTCGAATCTTGGTGCGCAGCGAGATGTTGCTTGCTTTCCAGACTTTTGATAATTGCTTGAAGACTGACCTTGCCCCCTACATCATTACAGATAAACAATTGTATACCATAAAAATATCTTTTGTTGAAATCACCACAGGGTAATTCTACAGATTTCTGGCTACAGAAACATACCTTTGTAACCGTCAGCCAAATGATTCATAAAAAGTTGTGGTCTATTTGGTTGTTTTTTGGTTGTGGCAGGGGGTTAGGCCTAGCCTATTGTATTGTTTGACTGAAAGTGTGAGAGTGTGTAACGTGTGAGATTCCAACGCATCGGGGCCCCAAAGCTGAGGAAAGGATCACAACACAGAGAGAAACAGGTTTGGGTAAGTCCTGTTGTAGGCGCAGGCAGACAGAAGATTAGTAGTGTTAAACATTGTTTTATGTTCCAAGTAACAACAAAAGTATAAACCAATGTTTCAGGAATCTTTCCTCACTATTGTTAGCCCTATTTGGCAGTGCTGTTAAGCAACAACAAAAATGTTAATAGTTTTTCTGTTTCTCCTACCAAAGTTCATCTCAGCAAGACAATACGCAACTTGCTTTTGTGTCAAATCATCATCATCATCCAGTGGTGTCAGATCTGCGACAGACATCGGCGATCATGGTTCTCCTTTCATTCCTTAGCTAGGGTGCTCTAAAAAAACTACGTTTCCCTGATCTTTCCCTGTTACCCATTTGTTTAGGTTCCCTAAGTATGTTGTTCAACTCATACCGGTTAGTAAACGAACAAAAAACCAAACTGACCTGTCTGTTAAAGTAGAACTGACAGACGCCGCACTGGAAGGGGCTGAGTCGGATCATGTACTTGTTGTACTTGTCCAGCATCTGAGTGGACTCGGCCTCCGGGTGGTTCAGCGCCCGCGCTCGGTGCATGCGGGTCAGCAGGTGGCGGGCCATCTCGTACTTGCGCCGGAAGCTCTTCCCACAGATGCCGCAGTCGTGCCACTCAGGCTGCTCCAGGCCCATGACAGCTTGACACACTGGATCACTGGGGAGATAATAAAAAGATAAATTACACGTTTTATTTGTCCCAGAAGGGCGTATACAATGGCAAACAAGCATCATCATCATCCAGTGCCAGATCTGCCACAGACATCGGCGATCATGGTTCTCCATTCTTTCCTCTGCTTGGATGCTCTCAAAAAAGCTACTTTCCCTCATCTTTCAAACATGCATACATACATAAATACACAATTATAAATACGTACATACATAAATACATACATAAATACACAACATACAACAAATACAGAACAGTTTACAACCATGCCACTGTCGGTCGCCATTGTGCAGCGCCCTGTATTTTAAGCTAGGGTTGTCGTGTCTTGCTCAAGGACACCGACACTTGCTCGACATAACTTGAGAATGTCTAAACTCACTACTCACTTAGCCACTGACTGTACTCATGATACACACTCAAGACACAAAACTGTACTTTCTCCGTCAACTTAAACTGCCTAAATGTTAAACGATATTTGGCATTCTCTCTTGTATGGTCTTCTTTAACCTCTATTTCAATCATACGAAGAACGGATAAAAGTCGTGTCTGCCCTGGAGGACTGAGAAAGAAGACTGCTGACAGACAAAATATTGATGCTCTACAGTATATATGGAAACAAAAATTATGGTGGGAAAATAAAAGTGAGGAGCAAAAAAACAGTCAATGTAACCATATGAAGACACGTACACACTATTTCCTTACTGCTCCACCCACTTCTTTTCAATGAAACTATATCATCATTTCTATTCCAGGTGAAATGTGGCTATTGATGTGTGGCCTTGATGCAGCCTACTGATCAACTCCTCTCGGATAAGTAATAGTGAGGTTTGTTTTTTTTTAAGTTTTTTTTTTTTGGGGGGGGGGGGGCAAGTGTTCTACGGCTCTTGCAACTGCATAAGGTTATATGAGCGCGCGGGAGAGTGAGGTTGTAAGCGGCAGTGGTTTGGAGAAGGGATATGTATGTGTGTCACTGCCACGGTGTCTCTCCATTGCTAGTGTAGTCATTTTCAAAATTTAACCCTATCCCTACGCCCTAGGGTCATTTTGTACCTCTGGGGTTGTATTCTTCACATTTTAGAATACTTCTAGTTCGAAGATCTCTTTGAAAGTTTTAGTATTTCTCAAAAAATCATCTCATTTCAACTGTGAGTAGTTCAGGTTATTTCTTCTCAATGATTTTTATATAGCACTGGCAGAAACAAATGATGCTAGTTGATAGCGGATGGCCGTTACTGAATAATTTTCTTTAAAACTTTTTAATGAGAAAAGGAAGGAGAGAAATGTGGCTCACAATCAATTGTAAGTAAGAAAAAAAACAAACAGTGGGAGACAGTCAACAGATTTGATTAATGAGAGGAATTTCTATGACAAGAAGCAAAAGAATCGATGGTCTTAACACACACAGGCGGGATCATGTGAAAACAGAAGTCGATAAATGACAATAAGAAGAAAACCTTTTTTTTAAAAATGGCATTCACCTTACAGGGTCTGTTTCTTCTCAAGCAAATGAAAAAAAAAAATTTATATAAAGAGGGTAGAAAAAAGCACGTTAATTTTGTCATGAGAACTAAAGATGTTGACTTCTTTCATCACAGAAAGAGGGCAAATACAATGCAACTGCAAGACATTTTGGAAGAAGGAAAGAAAAAAGAAGTAAAAGGACAAACAACTCCCTGGATTGAAAGACTGAAACAACAGTCTGGAATAACTCTATAGGAATGTATGGCAGTAAAGCCCCCAAAATAAAACCAGTGTCAGAAAATTGTATCTAGATGACTAAGAAAAGATAACTTCTAACTTGACAAAATGACATATTTTTCTTCTTCTCAAGGTTACTTCCCTTTGAATGCTAGCTATCAATTGATGGGGCTCTGAAATTTTGGGGCCAAACCAGTTGCAGTGGGATTTCCATAGCTTAATAATTAATTTTTCAAAAGAGGAGATGTAAAAAAAAAAACACATACGAAAGCACAAACATACACAATCAAATAGCTAACAAGTTAAACGGAAAGGAAAAGTTTGGTACTTCCAGCATTCTGGTATTTTCAGAAAAAGTGACAGCAACACCCCCATACTATGCTCATATGCACATATGTTTACATTGCATCCATCACCATTTTCCATTACTAATAAGTATGAAATTGACATAAGTGAATGAGTTACTTACTATACAACTCTTTGCACCTCAACCTCTGTCACTCACCTTGCAATCCCCCCAGGGGGGTGCTACTGTCTGAAGTGTCTTTAGACCGTTCCCAAAGGGGGGATATTTCTCGTTCATGCACAGTAGAATATTGTAAATGGGCTGATTCATCAATGTCATGCTCATAACTGTGCCTGACCTGCAACAGGGAACTGCTGCTTTTTCTTTCCTAATCCTTATTATCTACTACTTCTTTTGTATGTTTGTCACACTCTTGTGACCCGTTATTTCCGGGGTGCCTTGATAGTCAAAGCAAGGCTTTGTGCTGTTGAAGCTAGAGAGGGGAGCAGAGTAAGTCTGATTCCCTGTCAGGACTTCTATGTTGACATCCACTCCCTGGCGCTCATAACACCTTATGCAGTAGCGAGCGCCGTAAAACTTCTACAAAAACAAACAAAACAACTCACCTTGCAATTTCCTCCGGAGCTGCAGGCCACTCATCCTTTTTCTCCTCTGTAACCGTTTCATTGCGGACGTCCACCCTAAGGACAGTCCCATCAGAACTCTTGTACTCTCTGTAACCGTGTCTGACTGTAGCGTCTTGGTGGAGCTTGGTCTCGCAGTGGGTGGAGAACACAACGGAATTGTCAAAGTACAAGTTACACACCTGGGGATTTCACAAGACGGAAACTGACACAACTACTCATAGGAAAAAAAAAAAAGAATACTTATATTGCGACAAAAGTGTTTTTCAACTCCAACTTTTACAACTTGGAGGGTCACTAACAATCCCTCATATCAGGGACCTTTTTAAAAAAATTTCAACATATTAACATGAATATCTTTTTAAAGAAAATTGTATTTGGGAGGTAAAGAAAAATATGCTTGTTATATGTTTCTTTGAATAGAAGAAAAGTTCATGAGCCTAAAAAATGGTCACACTGTGTTGGAGTAAAATATGGCACAATGCAGAAATATAAGAGAGGGAAAGTATACAAAAATAGGACTTGCCAGTGGCATCCCCCAACAGACCAAATGCTGTAAATGTACAAATTATGTACCTGTACTGATGCAAAGTAATGTAACAGAAAACACAACACGCTTCATATTTTTTTTCCTATAAAGGAGATCACAACCGGCTACAGGAATTGAGGCTTTATTAACAAGTTGAGAAAAAAATCAAGCACCAGCCAGGAGTGACTATAAAATTTAAAGAAACTAACATTAAACTACAGAGCAAAGGCATTATCTCTATGGTGTATTGACAGCTAAAATATCACATTAACATATTTATATTATAAAATAATTTGTAAGGAGAAAAGCTAACAAACAAGAAAAAAAAACACTGAGAAAAAGTCAATGACATGCTCAGATGAAAGTTCACCAACATTGATGATCAAACCCTTGTAAAAGATTTTTGTAAAACTTTACTTAAAAACGATTGCACTGACAATATAAAAACCTTGAAAAGACTGGAAATAGGAGTTCAGGAGCTGTAAAATATTCATTTGAGCCACTTACAGTGCAGTAACAGCTGTCATCTGCTTTCCTCGGCCTGATGGCTGACACTGTAGTTTCCGGCATCTCTTGAGACTGGGTAGTTTTCTCAGATTCTTCCTGTCTTTTCTCTCCATCTGTGAAAAGTGCTTTGTCTATCTCGAGCTTTTTCGCAGCTGCAAAACTTTTGTGCTGGGACTGACCAAAGTGCAAAGAGTATGAAAAACGATCTTCAAAGTAAGCATTGCACACTGTGCAGTGAAATGCCTTGCCATCTTCCTTGCCACGGACACGTTTTGGTGGTTTTCTGAACACCCCTTTCCGACACGCAGGGGCAGGGCGCTGACCAGGCTTCCACTTGCCAGCTATAGGTTGTCGACGTTTGGGGCCTTCGCCCGGCTTCCACTTGCCTCCAGTGTGACCTTGAGGAGGGTGTGAGTTTGATCTACTATCATCGCTTAGCCAGCCATCATCGTTGTCCATTGCATTGTCTGTATCGCCCATTCCAAGCATGTCATCATCGTCACTACTAAAGTCAAGGTTACTAAGAATAGCTGTGATGGGAAGCAGGGACTCAGCATGAGCATCGTCTTCTAAAATTGACAAACGCTGTACTGCTTTCAGTCTAGGTCGGGGCGGAGCTTCCTCATTTGCACTTTTCAATTCTAGAGATTGAAAAAAATCGGAGCAGTGTTTGGGAGACAGGAGAGCATCCGTGTCTATGTCTGGGTCTGGGAAATCATCTGGGTTGTTGATAAACTCAGAGAGTGGGGAAGCCTCTCCGCTATAAGCACCCGCCTCATGTGTTGCAGAAGTAGCGTGCTCAGTGCAGGAGTTCTCTTGACTACTCCTACTACCTATATGATTTCCTTGGCCATCACTGTTATCTGGTATGAGAACCTTGTTGATGTCATCAACATTGACCTTTTGTTCCACTATGGGCCCGTCACTGGGAATTGCGTGCGATTTGAAGTGGTCAACATACTTCATCAGGCCTATGATTGTCTGATTGCAGATCAAACAGATGTGGCTGCTTGTGTCAATCCCGTCCATTTTTGAGCTGTCAATAGGCCTAATGAACAGATAAAGATTTGGAAATGAGCAAAATAATTTTGCATAAAACAAGTCCAAAACTAGAAGAAGCAAAAACCAAATTGGTTGAAAATAAACATGCATGTTGTGTTGTGTGACAAGTCACTATATCCTCATTTGGAGCTAACAAGTAGCCACATAATGTTGATAAATTAGATAAAACATTAAATCACTTCGTTCATGATTATTTTTTAATTTTCGAAATATCAGTAGAATCTAGTAAAAAGTGCGACATGCCACATTTTTCCAAGAACTTTTCTAAAAATGTCAGTGGGCCTATCCCTCTGGCCCCATCTCTACCCCCTAGGACTTACTACAACACAAATAAAAAACCATAAGTTTTGCGGTTGAGGTATCTCCAAACATGGTCATATGACATAACAATCAGCCC